GCAATTGATATACTATTCAAAAGAGCTCTTCATGCTCTTTCAAACAATATATTAAACATACAGGATAACTTTCTATTCCTGGGTAAAAAAGAGAACACCTGAAAAATCGCGATTTTTTGGCGCAACAGAAACCAATAAATCAATTTTCAATCTGTATTTTCCGAAGATAGATGAAATGTGAGGTAAGCTGCATAAGAATGGATAGAGCGTAAAAAGCTCTATCAAGTGGTACCTAGAAAACATGCGTTCACCTGCAAAGAATTGAATAACCCGTATCTTTGTTCTCGAAGCTACTAATGGCTATATCTCCTGACTTTGAAAGTTGAGGCCATCAAGCTGTCGTGGGTTTAGTGACTGTCCCACCACCCACTCCAGCAGTGGTACTTTGGGTCTTCTCACATGTTTCACTGCGCAGATACTGCCCAAAGTTTATAATTCATCAAAGTGACTAACTTTGCATTTCAGCCACTCTAAAAATTATTACGTACGTAAATGACCTTATATAGGTATTAGGTTGTTACATAAGTCTTGTTACACTTAACTTCTAACGGCGATAAGTCATGCACCTCATATTCTTTACAGGACTTCAGGAGATCATTCGATAGAGCAAAGCAAGCTCTACAAAATAGTGCGGAAAAGATCGCACCAACTTCGACCCACTGTAACTTTGCATCCAAAATCTGAGTCGTACTGAACGCTCAAAAATTGCGAAAAATTCATATCTTTGTTCAGAAAAATCCTACGAACCTCCAACTTGCTCATAAAAATTGCACACTATATCAGACACTCATATGTATCGTTGCTGTATTTTTTCTTCATCTAGAAATCGAGAAAACGATAATTTTCTTGTTTTTAAAAAACGAAGCTATGCTGTTTCTATTTATGTAGCTGTATACTACAAGCCCTTAGAAATACAACCGTAGATTTTCAGCTTTCCAGAAGCCCTAGTTTTCGAAAAATACCGAATTTAGTTTTTTTCGCTCGGGTGTTCATTGCTAAACTGGGTAAATTTCGAAAACTAGGGCTTCTGGAAAGCTGAAAATTTACGGTTATACTCCTGAGGGCTTGTAGTATAAAGCTACATAATTAGAAACAACATAGGTTCGTTTTTGTAAAAACAAGAAAATTATCGTTTTCTCGATTTCTAGATGAGGAAAAAATACAGCAACGATATATATGAGTGTCTGATATAGTGTGCAATTTTTATGAGCAAGTTGGAGGTTCGTAGGATTTTTCTGAACAAAGAAATGAATTTTTCGCAATTTTTGAGCGTTCAATACGACTCAGATTTTGGATGCAAAGTTACAGTGGGTCGAAGTTGGTGCGATCTTTTCCGCACTATTTTGTAGAGCTTGCTTTGCCCTATCGAATGGTATCCCGAAGTCCTGTAAAGATTATGAGGAGCATGATTTATCGCCGTTAAAAGTTAAGTGTAACAAGACTTATGTAACAACCTAATATTTTCTGAAAGAGAACAATTTATTCTAATATCTAGCAAAATTGGAAAGTTTAATCACTTTTCTTTTTTGAGAAATCTACATTTATTCTCTAGGTGCCCCATTTTTTAGTGATCACCCTAATAGAAGCATTTTCAACAGGAGACCCAGTTACCGCTAGTGGAATTTCCTCAAACAGAAACACATCTTCACCAGCGGAACCCAGTTATCTAAAAGCTTTCTCTTCCACACGGAAGAGCATAACCTGAGTAAAAGTCCTCCACAACGAGATCCAGTAGTTCGCGCTGGATTTTCCTATGTGGAAACCCATCTCCAACGGCGAAACCCAGTTACCCAAAACGTTGAATTTCCACAAGTGAACCCTTTCCTCCACCAGCGAGACCCAGTCATCCAAGCGTTGGATTTCCCCAAGTGGAAGCTCATCTCCACCAGCGAGATCCAGCTACCCAAAGCGCCGCTTTCCTCCACCAGCGCGACCCAGCCATTCAATCGTTGGATTTTCCCAGATGGAGGCTCATCTCCGCCAGCGAGACCCAAAGACCCGAAGCATTGAATCCCCAAGTAAACGCTTTTCTCCACCATCGAGAGCACATACTGAAGCGTTGGATTTCCCCAAGTGGAAGCTCATCTCCAGGAGAGAGATCGTTACCCGAAGCGCCGCTTTCCTCCACCAACGAGACCCAGTCATTCAAGCGTTGGATTTTCCCACATGGAAGCTCATCTCCACCAACAAGACCCAGTCACCCAAAGCATAGAATTTCGCCGAGTAAACGCTTCCCTCCACCAGCGAGACTCAAAGACCCGAAGCGTTGAATCCCCAAATAAACGCTTTCCTCCATCATCGAAAGCACTTACTGAAGCGCTGGATTTCTCCAAGTGGAAGCTCATCTCCACGAGTGAGATCGTTACCCGAAGCGCCGCTTTCCTCCACCAACGAGACACAGTCATTCAAGCGTTGAATTTTCCCAGATGGAAGCTCATCTCCACCAGCGAGACCCAATCACCCAAAGCATTGAATCGGCGAGTAAACGCTTCTCCACCATCGAGAGCACTTACTGGCGTTGGTTCCTTACCCGACGCCCCGCTTTCCTCCACCGACGAGACGCAGTCATTCAAGCGTTGGATTTCCCTAACTAGAAGCTCATCTCCACCAGCGAGACCCAGTCACCCAAAGCATAGAATTTCGCCGAGTAAACGCTTCCCTCCACCAGCGAGACCCAAAGACCCGAAGCGTAGTTTCAAGCAAAGTAAAAAAACCTTCACCAACGAGACCCAGACTCAAGCGTTTCTTTAAGTAACGCTCGTCTCCACCAGCGAAATCCAGTTACTTACGCTTTCCTTTCTATACAACAGGGAATATTTTCACAAATATATACTCGTCCACCAGCAATATCCAATTACTCGAGCACTTTCAATTCTGAAAACGAAAGCAGGACTAGTCTGAGATAAAACCTCGTTCCCACCAGCGACACCCAATTACACAAATTAACCTTTCTACAAGTCCATCAGATAACATTTTTGATCAAAATTTCGAATTATCTGCGGTGCGTAGTTGTCTTAGTGCTTTTTCTTCTGAGGCGTCGCCTCCGACAAGAGAACGCAATTTCACGCTTTTCGGAATACGACAAAAGTTAGATTTCTCAAAAACTTGGAAAGGCAAAATTTCCATCATTTGCAGTATTTCTTAGACATGCTTCGAAAAGCATCAGGTTTTGGCTCTACCACGAAACCCACTCAATCTGTGCGATTTAATTTTTGTGTAAGCAGAGAAAAACGAAACAAAAAAAACGATAAATAAACGTAAACGCACAAAGGCAGAAACATAAACTGGAAATGTTGAAAATATTTACCACCTGCAAGCAAAAGATTTATGTAGATAAAACCTACGTAAGACGATGCGGCAACAACCTTGCACGAGGCGACTTTCCATGATAATAGCGACATAGTGTACTGAACCTCGACCGGGGGGAACATTTGCCTCGTTATTTTATGGATGTTGCTCAAGGATCGCATATGGTGTAGTCATGTGACTTATGCGAAAACATCGTCTTGAGACTGTTGTGCCACTCGTGATGGTCTGTTTATAGTCTGGAATTTGTCCTTAGGCGACAGCTATGCGCGAAAAAAATTCGAGACGGTTCGGTACAAATGAAAACATGTCTCATATGGAAATACACAGGGGGCGTGTCCGCCTCTCGTCTGGCTTCTCCTCGTCTACCATCTGCTATCGTTTAGGGAAAGTGCACGAATTCATGCTTTTATACGTAGTGATTTCGGGGGCGTGGCTAGGGCCACCCCTTCTTCTGAAATTTCGGGATTAGGGGCCCGCAAAAATTTTACGAAGCATACCAAAAAATTTTTCGGAGTGCTTGTCCCCTCCCCCCCCCCCCGAGCAAGTCCTGGGTACGCCACTGGCAAGTGAGTACATACAGAATACTGGTGAGCATGGTAATTACACAGATAAGTTGACGATGATTATGACCATGTAAGAAACTGCATTCCTACAACAATCATTATTCTTTGGGGGTATAGAGAATAATAATACAATATAGTATAATAATACAATATATATTATAATAATATTAGGTTGTCCCATAAGTTTTTTTCATATTCGGACCTTCAATTCGATTTTTCTCAGGAACTACAGCACCTAGTAGGCTGCAAATTTTTGGCAGTAATTCTGAGCGAATAAGCTATATAATCACCTACTTGCGGGGAATACAGAAGTGATACGGGCAAAGTTTGAAAATTGAGCGCATTATTTTTTTCTTGGTTTCTAGCCATCAGAAAAATGCAGAAAATGCATTTATAAATATCCGATGAGGAGAGTATATGCATGAAAAAATAGGAAATTTGCAGAGCTGTTTTGAACTGAGATATGATGATTTTCGTTTTTTCGGAGATTCTGGAAAATTTTTTATTTTGGTTTGGAGCATGTTGCGGATTGGACTTGGTGCGAAATTTTGAGAGCCATCTTGTAGAGCTTACTTTGATCTGTCGAATGGTACCCTGCAATTTATCAGGAGTTCAAGAAGAACTGATTTATGTCGTTGAAAAGTCAGGTATGAAAAGACTTATGGGACAACCTAATACATACGAATGTACATACAATTGCACATTCTGTATTGCCAACATTTGAGCTGATAAGGAATATGCTGATTGTGGTCAACTTCCCATTCTTCAATTAAGAAAAGGTTACTAATGATGGCCAGACGAGAAAAAGTCGATCTTCCTCTACTGGCCGGAAGCAAGGCATGTTCCGTTCCTGGTAAGAGAGAGGAGAGCGAGGTTACAGCTAAAACCACAGATTTTCCTGCAGTTTCCTGTGCAGACATAAACAGGATCCCGAATGCAGTCTCGCATACAAGCGATGCAGCCCTGGAGCCATCTCTAACCAGATGAGCTAGACTTACAGACTGACCTGACCATTTTCCAGGAACCTAGCGGATCCTTCGCCTTACCTCATACTTTGATGACTACTATAGCAAATCCGCTAGTCAGTCTCACAACAAATAATTGCAAAGCAGTATTTAGAAATATTCACTTAGAAGATATATTATTAGTATTACAGACATTTCGCTCTAAACAAAAAATAAAGATCGAATAACTAACTAGCGAGCAGTATCACAGCACTATATCGTAATTCTTCAACAAGATGATACAAACAAGAGACTAATATTTTGAAAGGAAAAGAAAACATATTATACACCGTCGCTTATCACAATTCACGAAATTCAATTACTTGCAGCACCCATGCATTGTAAGATGAATATTTGAAAATTTCTGTGAGATTAGTAAGAAAAGAGCAATTAGAATGGGATACGACCTCTAATGCACTGTACATACTTCTAGAATCCGCATTACCTCACTGATTGGAAGTAACCATTGTAAACTACAAAGAAGAGGTTGTAGTTATTGTTTGCGTATATGTATTCAAATTGGGCTCTACTACATCTGGTGAAGGATAAACACCCATGAAAAGTGTTCAGCTATCAGATCAATTGATAAAGGGCAAAGATTTTGTGCACACGAATGACAAGGTAAGTTCAATGTAGAATCCACCAGACAGGTAACCCAAAATATCATAGAATACCGGAATGAGCTAAAATAAAGATAAATTATATACTTCTTAGTTCAATTATACGAACATACCTGATCCATATTCTGCTTGTATTTCAACTGTTCATCTTCCATGCCGAACCAGGGAGATACATCGTATTCCACGTTCTCTGCGTTGACACTTACACGAACCGAGATGCTCCTGAAGAATTAACTGACACTGGCAAAGTGCAGGGTCTAATTTCGTCTGGCTGCTTTATTATGTCACTGAGTTATCGCTTTAACAAATCATCCTCGTCCATTTGAAATAATTTAATTTATAGATAAGAAAGCAATGTTACAGAAACTGCATTTCACCAATGGCTGCTAGCATGACGGCATCAGCTATAGCTGTTTCTAAACAGATTTTTCTTACCTGACCAGTTCGCATAACCACAGTAGAAAATTCAGTAAAATAGGCCGTTGTCTACCATATTTTCACTAAGTTCAATTTTTGATAAATAAGAAGAAGTTCAAACGATGGCTACCATACCGGAACGCCTCTGATCAAAATCATGCAAAAATTATGTTCAAACTCAAGCTTAGTTGATTGTACTCGCAGCATTCGGAGAGTGATTTGTCAACCAAGTCAAGTCAAAGTAAACCGACCAGTCTTAACACGCGTTCCACAATTCCTACTTCTTATGCCTCATCAACTTTTGAAGCAAAGTGCGCATTTTGATGAAGCGAATAAGAACACGATATTCTCAAAATTCTAAAGATGGAAAGAAATTTTCACCACATATCTAACACCAACAAACAGTCCAATCTATAAGTTCTTGTTAAAAACATGATGCGAAAGCAGAGCTTGTACAGTGGTTAACTTAGACGCAAAAGTGCTCCAGCTGCATTGACGGAACCCAAAATTCATAACGCGCCGCCTGCTTGCCTATGCACATCAGCAGAAACACAGGCTGCGTCCAGACGCCCTGACGTGCCAAGAGCATCTTATAAACGGTGAAAAACGTGGAAAGTACATACTGTCAAATTAAATAGAATGCATTCTCAAGCAAAATGAGATAATACATCTCTCAAAGAGTGCATTTCCATAAATGAAAGAGTCAAAAAAGAAGTCGATCAGCTGCGGCAGCCGTGCGAAAATCATTTGTTCAGAACAATGTCTTGCGAGTGAATGATTGCCAATAAAAAAGGAGGCAAACCAGATTTACAACTGCTTTGCTATATGAGTTGTATGTATGCAAGCAAAAAGCATTTGGATGAAGTTTATGATGTAATCGCAGAAACACAGCGTAAAAATTGTGGTTCACCCCGCTAAATCTTGTAAAGATATAATGAAATGAAGTTTCTGCAGAACTTACATAATGTTCATGTTGATCAACATCATCAAATACGGTTCTAACATTCCTGTGCATTCGCGCGCTAACATCTCGGCAATACTGAAAGACGCGTTAAAATGACACAATAGGGCTATGCGCTTTCTTACCTGAATACTTTAGGTTCTTCATCAGGAGTGAGTCGTCCATTTCTGAGATTATACACATGCGAAAGACGTACACCATAGTCTGATACGCTAGGAACTTGCAAAACAGAGGAAATTGCTCTGTCCAGCGATAAACCATATTGATATTTATCCTGAAAATCAAAGAATTATAGCAAACAACAAAACAAGATATGCAATCACATACAGCCAGATTGAGGCCGTCGATTGAGGACGTGGGGCCATGAGTGGAAGTTTGCGGGCAAATGTCAATCCAGTTTATGATAAACTGAGCGCCTGACGATCCAGAGGTTGACCAATCCTGCAGAGTCAAAAATTTTCACAGAGATCAGACAATCAAGGGATGATTTGAAGTACCTGCATTGAGTTCAATGAAGCCAACAAACTTTCCAGTTTCTCTGAGGGAACACGAATGGCCACTCCATCTTCTACCACAGATATCTGAAGGCTTATCACATCAAAGCGAGATACAGAAATCGTTTCTCAAACATCTGCCCTTTCTTAAGAACAAAGCAAAAAAATTCAACGAGAGACTACCTGTAGTCCGTCAGTCTTCAAACCGCCATCGACAACAATGAAAGAGGCTCCGGTAGCTACAAAAAAATCTTTCAAACTTTTTCTTTTCATGCAAATTGCACACCTTTCCTCGAGGCACACCGTGCCAAAACCTGCGTCGTATAAAAGCCATCGTTCTCTTCACAGACTAGGTGACTGTCAGCCGACAGATTCACATCTGTCGCCCAAGCAATCATCGTGCGATTTAAGGATATTACCTCATCTAGCTATAAGTTCATTCTGATTTAAAAGTTTTACGCTAAAAAAGTAATAAGAAAGAAAAGCAGAAATCAAGCAGACTGGAGAATACGAACATCATGCTTAGCACTTCGCGGGATCTTCACCGTGGTAACGTCATTTTCCAACGTAACAGTGCAACCTACGAGATGCTTCAAACGAAAAGACCAGTTGCGAAAGTCGGTAAAAACCTGAATTTCAATGAAGTTTAAATAAGTTCACATACCAAAGCAATTCACAGACCTTCAGCACAGTTTGCGATGTTTCAGTCGAGTATGCTGACTCTCTGTTTACGATATTAACAATAGGAGTAGGATACCCTGAGTGGAATTAACTGAATTTTCTATAAAGCACAGAAATACCTTGATGCTTACAGCTATACTTCAATCCTAATCGCAACAGTAGTCGATTTGGACAAGCCATAGCCCAAGAGAGTTCCGCATCGCACAAGAACAAAGCAACAAGAAAAGGTGAATTGGGCACTGGTAAATTCTCAAAGTCCTAGAACACACAATAGTTCCTATAGATCAATGCCGTATTTGGCTACATACCTGCAGAGTAGGTGGGAAAAACAGAATATGTTTGGTCAATGGAGGCGATGCGATAGGTACGGAATGTATAGCAGGTAACCGACTAGAGACCTGTCGCACACCTGCTTGATCAGCTTCACAAGAAGTCGAGTAAATCTGGATATGGATGGAAATTCGGGACAAATATGGTAGCTAAGGCTTACTTGTGCGATCCTATGCAATACATTCAGTGGAACAGCAAAATCATCAGGATCTTCCCTCTTCCATACGAATATAACTTCATCCAAGCCAATGGTAGCAAATCCACATGAATGAACGCAAAATACACTCATGGAGCTCACTGGAATGATGTGCATGAGAGGGTAAGCTGCGCAATGACTGGCTAGTTCACAAGAAGTACATAAACGGATTTAAGAACTTTTCTTCGGACATAGAAATACATCTAAGCTTCGCTCATTACCTTTACATATCTTCACGACACAAGACAGGTTCTTCTTCAAAACAATCGTTACTGGAAGGTCCTCCTTAAGCCGAGATACTACACATTCCTCGTCAACCATTTCCATTTCCCCACTAGGCGAGATAATGAGCAACTGAGGGCGCGTGGATGTGGGCAGCGCACAACCCAGCTCTTCTTCAAGCCTTAGCTCTGCTATCCGGCGGACAACCGCGTGCCTTTTGCGATTTTTCTGAAACCTGCTTTTGTTAGCGTTAACGAAATGAAAGACGACGACGACCTTCTTTGGTTTCACGGTCGTACTCTTCTCTTCAGCAGAAGGATTTTGTGAAGTAGGAGATGTAGCACCAGGTTTTACGCCATCTCTGAAACACATTGTTAAGGCGTATAGACTCGAATGCGCTCAATTCGACTATGTAGCAGACAAGATATTTTCATGGGTACCTAAAAACGACACATCGCTTCTTTTCATGGGCATCTGAGTGCGATGCCTCCGGCTCTGCTTCATTCGAAGCATGGGTTTTCAGAACGCCCCGTGTCACACGGCCTGTCGAAGTCGATGGCGTAGCATCAACCGAATCCCCTCTGCAGTAGGCTTGACTGTAATATTACTGGAATAAAATCTGATTTAGCATACCCTTCTGCGTGTTCTCTCATCATCTTTTCGTAGTCTTCTATTCGAGCAAGCATAGAAGCGCAAGGGGTACAAACACGTGCGGGGGAACGCTAAAATTTAAAAATTTAGAAGTTCAAGCTTTAGTTAAAGCTAGACCAGAACTATAAAGGAAAAATGTACAGGCAAAATGATTGTCTTTACCTTTTTCGGGTCATCTTTCATATATTCAAGCGTGGCTCGCTCTTTACAACAAGCTGCACAAGCAACGCGACCACAGGCTCTACAATGATGTCGCCGGTTTATCAGAGAAAAACGAACGTTGCACAGCATGCACATTGGACAGTCATCATCAGGGATCCAGTAAGGTTTAGACTGAAAAATTATACACGTGAATAGCTGTTGGCAAGGCAAAACAATAAAGACCTTTCCCAGCTGCAACTCGCTTTCCGTGAGTCTCATAGGATCCGACTCCTGAGATAGGTCATGGATAGTCGCAATAACCTAAAAACCTTGATCTGCCAAAAAAAATGTTGTGCTGCAGGACAAACAGACCTGTGCACCGAAACGATCGCAAGGAGGAGCGGGAGAAGGTCTTTCGTCCTCCTGAATAAGATAGAAGAGTGGAGAACTTCATAATCTTTTCTGTTACTGCGATGATGGCATAAATGATACTAAGCAAACTTCTTAGGTGAACTTATTAGTGAACGAGATGGAAGAGATAGAAAGGCAATGTATCAAAAGGCATCGTAGTCCTCTAGCAGCCCTACAATGTAATTCGCAAAAAAGAGGGTTTAGCTACAAAAACAGATAACAATAATGTGAATACACTTACCGTCACCTCACACTCTATCGCATTCACCAATCCATGGCAACTCTCCTCGGAACCAGCACGCTCGCGGTCGTCAACTCCTCCATTCTCCTCTAGGTCTTGATTAGCTTTGACGTCTTGTTCACTGGAAGTAATATTTCAAGTTCCTTTACTGAGTAAGGAAAGTTCCGCAAAGAAAGCTTGCCTTATCGGTTCAACTTGCTGATTTGATACATTGCGGGCTTCTTCAATGACGGAGTCTAGGTCATCTTCTGAAGACGGGAGCGTCTCAGACCTAGCAGTCAACGCCACAGGCCTCATTTCCGGGGCCTCCACCTCACTGACTTCTTCCGGGGCGCTCACAGTGGAAAGCTGGCTTTTCTCTTCTGACAAATCTACCCTCGCGTTCATTGACCCACCACCACCTAGAGTGGCATCTACCACACCGGATCTGGCAGTCAATGCTGCAGGTATCACTTCCAGAGCTTCCACTTCACTGACTTCTTCTGGAGCACTTACATTAGACAGCTGCTTTCGTTCTTCCGTAGATCTTTTTGTGGGCAGATCATCTAACGCGTCTATTTTACCAGACCTAGCCGTTAAGGCCTCAGGTTTCATCTCTACTGCATCCAGCTCTATCGTTTTCGAAGTTGCTCCCTCTTCCGTTGATGACACAATCTGCTCGGAATCACAAACAGCTTTTGTACCATCTTCAACTCTTCTCCTTTCCTCTTGCATCAATGCAGAGGCTTCAATAGAGTCTGTACTCGTTGGCTTATCTGCGTGTGAAGGACCTTCAACTAGAGCCTCGGCCTGATTTTCACAGCTCGTTGAAGCCACAGATAAATTATGTATCACAGTTGTCACAGATTCGCTATTTGAGGTATCTACCTGCACGTCTTGTGCAGTAGCTAAGGTTCCCACATTGTTGAGGAAGGATGGATTTTTTTGAATATCTTCAAGCTCATGACATATGGTGACTTCCTCATGAGCCAGAGGTGGCTCAGCATCTGATACTTTCTTCTCTTCTAAATGTGTACCTTTCTCAAGCACGTGCTCTCCAGCAAGCGTTGACGGTTCAAGACAGTTTTCAACACCTTTGGCGACAGCGTCAAGCAATGCCTCAGCTACTGCTTCAGCTGCTGTCCTCAGCGATTCATCATCTAAACAAACCAAATGATGATCAATGAAAACCTCGACACTATGCTGCGAACCTTGCATTTCTGAGTGATAGTCATGGTCAAATGATGAAGCATGGGAATCTTCCTTTTCAGATCGTATTGGCAAATTAGCAGTATTTCTTGCTTCTCTGGCATCTACGAAGTCAACACAATAATGACTATAGACTAGGAAGTAATTGAGCGAAACAGAAGGACACATTAATACCTGAAACTGGATTCCCAGCAGTGGGTTCGGCCTCGGCCACTTCCATTTCATCAATTCTTTTGCTAGCTGCAAAGCAAATATCCTGGGAAAACTGCCACAATTTTTCAAACGATGCAACAACCGATGACCTATCACATAACCAAGTAGAAAAAGATGTTCACCTGCGGGAGCAACCTCTTCGTCTTCACACTTATTCAAGTAATCCAGAACTTCTTCAAACTCAGTGTCTCCTTCGGATTCCGCGTGTTCCTCCGCTACTTCTGGTGATTCGGGGCCTGGAGCCTGAAAAGATTGCTTACTTGATTGCTTCGCTGGGGTAAGGATGGCACATATTAGAACTGAATTTATAGGATTCCTACACCCTTCGCCTGCAAAACATGTTTCTCGAAACAACAAAAAGGGCGTAATTATGTTTTGGATTTTTTTATAAGACCTAAAGGATTCTTATGTAAGTGTGGTCCCAGTAAAGATTTTACAACGACTTCCAAGTCCCGTTTTGACAATACTGGGCATGCTCATGTCTTCAGCTACTTCTGTACACAGATAAGTGATCTGTATTTCCAATTTCTGGCCCAACGTTTCACTTCGTCTTCCTCAGAGGTCGGAAGACCACCGATATGCGTGAAATCCGCACCGGCAGTGAGTGGTCGCGGGGGAGCGGTGGTCTTCCGGCCTCTGAGAAAGGCAAAGGCGTTGGAAAGTCGGGCCGTGAGACTGGCATTAGAAACCAATTACCAAGTGGCGCAGAAGTGATTCGAAGACTTTACAGTGATGTTTGCGATGCCTGAAGGGTCTCCAGACTCTCGCAACCCCGGCACAATAGAGTGACGACCGGTCACGACATCTCGTACATCATGAAAAGAGGTAAGATGTTTTGCGGAGTAGAAGATATTAGTAACGGACTTCGCTGTGCGAAGAACCATGAACATAGATATACAAGATGCATGGTTATGTTCCCCAGGCGATTCTGAATTGTGACGTTTTTTGTTCAGCATGGATAACTGATGAGCAATAATGATGCGAAAATGAGATTTTTATCCATCCCCGGCGCCGTATCGGGCTTTGCATTCAGTAGATGGCCTACAGGAATGTAGAAACACTTCAAAATCTATGTCTTTGAACTGCCTATTATGGTAAAACTTTAATGGTTACAAAAAGAACCGATCCCACTAGTCATATCATATACCCACCATGTGAATGTGTGAAAGGATACTATGAACCGGATGCGCGAATCTTTGGAAGGCTGCAACAGATGGGATACACCCAATCACTGGTCGCTTAATTTCTGCATGAAAAAGGCAAAATATAAAAAAGTGATGTTTGTAACCACTAAGCCAGATACAACATTCAGGCTGTTCAAGGGTATTTTCCCGTTCAATTTTATCACGATGTTATGGAATTTTTTGCACGCACCGAAGCCTCAGAGTTCGACTTGATCTAAAACTGCCCTTTAGGCTGGGCTCATACTGATCCATAAGTTGCGGAACAGTTCCAGCACAGCGCTTGCTGTGCTCTGTGCTGAAACTGTTTCGGAAATTATGGATCAGTATGAACCCAGCCTACCACCGAGTGAAAGAGGAAAAGGCTTCATGCAATACAAAAACATGTGCAGATATTCGAGCTGAAATGTCGTCCCATTATGATAAGGCGAAGAAGATATTATAGCAAATCATTCAGCAACGAACATTAAGAGGATGCAATTGTAAACCATAAGAAAAAGCGCTTGCCTCGATAACCCGTGCAGTGCCTACAGAAACGGATGGCTGATATTGACCGTTTTCTATGATAGGGTCCTGTCTGGACATCTAAAAGTATACTAATCTAATTTCGGCATCGATTGCTGATTAACAACGTTCACTGCAAATGAAATGTCACCTCTGCTACATCATTAGCTAATGAGTCAGCTGCAGTTGTCGAACACTCATCTGCCTTCACAACTATAGGATCAGGAGGCTTCAAATCGATTCTTATCATTTCCTAAACGTCATGACTTCAAAAAAGAGATTTGTGCGTAGTTTAGAAAAAAAGGGCTTCTGCTTAATAAACAATGCCAAGGGTTGCTGAGCTATAAACCACGATCACATCATAACCAACCTTGTCCGAAAGTTTTCGTAGATGTAAAGGAAGTTCGATCACTTCCGTACGGCCAACTGATACGGGTCTAGAATTTTTCGAGTGGTCTGGCTTATTCCCAACGACGGCCTCCTCAAGCTCATCCAGCAGCGCATCCATATCAGGCACCGCCTCCATCGCTAAGCAGGGATTTACATATAGGATAAAGCACCAAGAACGCCGAACAGAGATTTGAAACAACTTTCTCACAGAATCAGAAACGAAGAAATGAATCACGAAGTAATGTAAGTGAAGAAACGACGAGTCAAGTTCAAATGGTGGGATGGGAAGGGGGAGGGAAGGACGGTCAAAAGAGGCGATTTCCCCGGCTGTCAGAAAATCAAAACTCCTGTTTAATGGTATGCGAGTCTTTCGAAAGTGCAAAAAAATATCGCTGCTTTCTAGCTGTTCGAAGTTTTTTACTTGCTAAGTTTGATGCTTTTACTGAAAAAATGACTATTATATATATGAATTCATTTATAACTGCATGTTCATGCGTTTTTGAAGTACAGCTTGAAAATGAACAACACTTGAATGTTGCTTGTATTTCGTACATAATGTGTTTACGAAGCTCGATGAGAAAACTGCAGGAGTCAATAGCAGAAAGACAGATTTAGTACAAAGTCACTCAGTGAATCAGTCGTCACGAATTGCTTCCGCCGGAACTCATGAAAGTGGTGAAAGCAAATATTCCGAAATAATGATATATCTGGCCAGATTAACAACATACGCATACACGTCACACACACACCTATTAAAAGTTATTTACCAGCCACTAGACGTGCGTGCCACATCTCTGATTGATGATGCTAGACTACCGCAGGTTGTAATGTTTTGCAACAAATCTTTCTAACATGAACCTAGGCCGAAATCTTCGCACTTCTTTTGCAGATAAATTTCCTAAAATGTGGCTGAATTATCGACTGTATTTATTTTCTGGGTGAAATTCTGGGTGTGCAAGTGTCAGAATCCAAATATAGAAAAAATGCTTCGGAAACTTTGTGCAGAAAAATATGGCAGTAGAAGCCGCTAAAACAGCCAATGAGTAAACGTATTCACCTTCAATTTTCTGATGAAGAATAGCTGAATGCTATGAAAAGCTGCGAGTTGAGAGAAAGCCACTGACTGCAAAGATTCGAACGCACAGCAGAACCGGTGGGACACCAGAAATAGCACCCATAAAAAGCGAGAAAGTGAGAAAGCAACGATGGGCATTAGATCGAGTGAAGGCAATGTTTGGTTACATTTTCAACTAATTTACCCAAGTTTAAAAATTCAAGATCAAGTCTCTGCAACTTTGATAGGAATTGACTGATTAAGGTTAGTTTACATTTCTATTTCTCCTATTTCCTTCAATTGCCTAAAACCTGCCTCCACTACTGATGATTTCCAGAGAAGGTCATTCCTGTCCTTTTCCGTCTAGTGGGAGGAATGAAACGGAAATATATAAATGACTTCTCCTTTTTTTTCTAAACTGAATAAAAGACATGTGATTGATGATCTGCATGACTTCTATTTCAGTGAAAGCAGAAAACTGCCACAAATAACTTTAAGAAAAATCTTCTCATACAGATGAAGGTAAAAATGAAGAGAAACACTGTTGATATTAGAATAAAAGGTAATGAAAGCAAAGTTCCATGGAGCAAAACGTCCATGCATCGAAACGTGGAAAATTAGAATGCGACGATGAGGGGAATGTAACAGAGATGACAAAGTCTGAACAATGAGATGAGCAATCATCCTCGCGACAGGTTCAACGGAAAAGACCCGTCCGACTGCCCTTTATTCGCACTGTAGGAGCCGATCGGTGCGAAATTCGCACGGAATTCATGTGCTACAGTAGTTTACGCTGACTCGCCTATTGTTGCACTATCTGCTTTCATTCCATCATTACGCATCGCTCGTTGAGGTTCTGAATCCAATATTTGTGCTCAGCTCTCGCGATCATTATTCTTGCACAAAAAGTTTATTGTTTTTGATGCCAGTCAGTGTTCATTGATTTCCTGTCAACAGATTTGTTTCAGATTTCCTTCAAAGGGATATATATCTAGTCATGGAGCAGTATAACACTAAAAGTGCAGGTGAGAACTTGAACATATAAATAAGGCAGCAAGTTACGGAAATTTGTTAATCTGCTTTCCAGGCGTCAAACGTCTCATGAAGGAAGCGATAGAGCTACGAGAACCGACTGAAATGTATTCAGCTCAGCCTTTAGAGGTGTGCTCCAAACAAATACTCTATCTGTTGAGTTATAATCACTTTATTCACTTATACCATTTTTTCTCAGGACAATCTTTTTGAGTGGCATTTTACTGTGCGTGGACCACTGGATTCAGATTTTGATGGAGGCATATACCATGGGCGGATATTGTTTCCGCCAGAATATCCTATGAAGCCTCCGAACATGATTATTCTTACCGTAAGCATTACTCGGCTCGAGTGGCCTCCTATAGTAGCTTCTTTACAGCCAAATGGCCGATTTGAGTTGAATAAGAAGATCTGTTTGTCTATATCCGGTTATCATCCAGAGACGTGGCTGCCTTCTTGGTCAAGTAAGTTTTCCGATACTATTCAGCTTTCCTCATCTTCTTTGTTGCAGTAAGAACGGCGTTGCTTGCTTTGATCGGCTTCATGCCAACAGCTGGCGCTGGTGCACTTGGAAGCCTTGAATATCCAGTTGCGGAACGAAAGAAATTGGCTAAAAAGTTTGTCAAACCATAGTCTCTTTTTTCTTCCTGTCAATGCTTCATTGCAGAAGTCTAGAATGGAAGTGCAAGGAATGTGGAGCTTGTATGAAAGATGCGTTGAAGCCACTAACAGAAAATGCCAAAAAGAGTAATGAAGAGGCAAAGGAGCTAGCTTCTCAGCTCACTTTTAAGGTAAGTCTCATTAAAATAAGAAATTTCTCAGTTTTATTGCTTTCGTTAACCGAGCCTATACTACTGTTTGTTTGTGCTTATGTCTACAATATTTAATTGTTGTGTAGGAGCGCTTCACTCTTGCCTTAACTTCGCATTAGTATGCACTTTGCACTTTTCATAATGTATTTGGAAAGAACCGTAACTGTCCCAGTGACCAAGCGATGGTGTGTGTTAAAAGTTGTGCTTCATTGTGATTGGCATCGAAATGCACTTCTCTTTCCACGTATCACAGAATGCGATAGCATTCCAATCGATCAACATTTTTTCACCAAACGTAAAAATTTACATGATTCAAAATCCTGCAATATTGACTACTTACACAGCAACATTTTGATCAGAATCATGGCCGAAGCTTTGCACTAGTTATCCAATTTTGTGTGATCAGACACATTTGGTAGGTTGGCCCAAAAGTTTTTTCGCACCAAACTTGAAAAGGAGCTTTTTGCTGAACCGATTTGCATGCGTTTTGTTTTGTTTGAAAGCGGAGATTATGCTCTTGTTAAATGCCCTGGCTTTCTATTACACATGAGTTGCAGAGATGGAGGATGCACTAAAATTTTAGAATTTCAAAAGCAACAGAAAACGTCAAGTTTAATTTTCGAAGCTACTTTATGTAGAACTGCAAGTATTCTCTTAGCAGAATTTTTGCTCAGTTAAAAAGAGCAGATATGGAGTTTATAATACCGAGATCTGAGGGTACAATGTACGCTCTATAAGAAGCCGCTTTTGATGCATGCATAAAACATGAATCTCTTTCTTAACAAAAGCAAATCTATGTAGATAAGTGAAAAGTCACGATTTTCCAAGATAAAATAGAACTTTTGGACCAACCTAATGAATGTAGAAAAAATCAAAATAAATTGTTTAGGACGAAGCAGAGAAGAAAGCCGCTGTTGCTGAAGCAGACAAGTCTGCTGCGCATCCTCCAGGAACCGCTGAATCCGATATCAAAAGCAATACAGAACAGCAAAATTCTGCATCTGGAACAGAATCTTCGCCACAGTCACCATCCGAAGAGCCAGTTCCAGAGACGCCTCCACAACCATCCCAGTCGTCATCTACTGCACAGCCCCAAGCTCCTGCTATGGTCGGTTTTTAATCTCAGTTAGTCGCCGTTGATTAGGAGAAGTGACCTATTGTTTGTTTACAGCCTGCCTTCAATCGTCCACCATCGAGTAGTTCGTCGCCCTCAGGATCAAATGTGTCGCTTTTCGTCACTATTCCAGTTTGCGTAGTGTTTTTGTCGTTGTTTGCCCTTCTTCTAGCGCGAAGATTTCTACTCAAAATCTGATCACTGGGATTTAATCATTGCTCACTTGTAATAGGTAATCAGTCATGAGTATGTTTAACCGGTTGTAGTCACAATCTGCCTTCAAACTGTTTTCTAGCGAAATTTTATTGCCTCACTTGTCCCTTTTTATTGTATATATAATCTCGGGATTATGATGGGTACGATTTTAATTCCAGTATTTCTTCACATATGTTTGGAAAACAAAGTTTCAAAGTGAAAAATGAGAGTAGTAAAGGTTACCATGAGATCTCAAGGCGCGATCAGTAGATGCAATAGAAAACAAATGAACACGGATTACTTTTTCTTTTTTTTCTTTGCTGGTTCCTCTTCAGTTTTTGGTGGTTCGAGTTTGTAGCCATGCATCTCACACCAGCCCAAAGGAAAGATGTCGCTTGAACTGAAGACATGAAGGTATGAGCAATGCTTCCGATCTACGCTTATTCTATAGAGTGCAATGGATAAAAGAAGAAATAAAAGTACCAAGAACGGGAAAACAATAAATATGAAGAGATCATTGACTCACAAAACGTCAAACAACTGGTCATAGGTCTCCTCCCATCCATCAAAATGGATTTGCAGCAAGCGTCCTTTGTGTGCCGCCACCGTTGCTGGACATATCAGGTGATTTTCGCACATATCAGAGGCTTCCAATTTAGCGCCAATCTGCAATTTGGCGTTTTCATACAGATTTTGATTTCTTACTTCCCAACCCAAAACTGATTCATGAAGGATTTATCTGGAACTGGACGGAAAAGTGACTCGGGAGCTGCTATGGCCCCTGCCTGATGTAGATAGTCATCCCAACGGAACTCTTCCGTATCTAAAACAAAGCATTTTGTTGTCTGTTCATGTGAGAAAGAAAACCATTTACCATTAGGGCCACCCAATTTGATATCGTATTTCTGTGCGTAACCTACGGGGAACATGAAAGTATTGGTACAGTGAAGAGGAATGCATTCGGTTTCGACGTCAGGTCCATCCATGCCGACTCGGAGATATCCACCCTAGGATTATTTTCTTGAATTGTGCAGCTTGATCGCAAAAATCAAAAGTAGACCAATATAAAGACAACTGTCAGAAGACTAGACGCAATTTCGAACTCTAAAAGAGACTAAAGAGACACCTAAAGAGAGGTGAGGGAAGATGCAAGGTGGTGTCATAATTTGACATAGCCCGGTTTCGCTGCGGACGCTACCTGGATCGTGGACATGTGTCAATATTCTTGACACGTTCCAGTTCGGTTTACTACTTACCTTTGATACGCTCTGAAAGGCGAACAGACTTATCCGATTAGCCGCTCAGCCGCTTCATAATTAGTCCAATCATGAAGCGGCTAATTGGCTGACCGGATAAGTCTGACGCCTACCTCATTGCAGAGGGATATGATGGTTCCTTCTAGTCAAAAAGATTTCGCCTTTCATCTCCGTAAGCATGTGGGGCTGATCACACGGCCCCTCATATCGGCACGTTTACCAGTGCTCCGTAAACTGCAGGTTGTGCTCTCAATAGACTCTATCATTACACTTGGTTGTATTTCGCTTATAAATGGGCCAATACGGTCTTCTGTTGAGGCCGCACTCTGACTACACGGAAAAGAGAAGAAATATAAAATAACATGCAAATCCAAGAGCTTTGCTAGCTATGTGAGCTACTGCATTTTGCACCCAAACTAAAACATCAGGCCTTCCAATAAGACAACGCCAACGACTATGAATTAAGTTAACCTTTAACACTTCCAGAACAGTGGCAACGCGCAACTCATTAAACGTCTGAGCCAAAGGATCCATGAGTTCAAAACGCATTCCCTTTTCCCATTCCATTGGGGCATCCTTAAATCAAAGACTTATGTACAAAAATACAAATCTCCTTCTTACTTTATTAGCCGTCCATGAGCGGATTTTCTGCGGTGTTACATCACAAGCTGCATAGGGCGGATCTTCTCCCTAAAAACTTACTTAGAAGTCAGCAAACTCTAACACACATACTACCTTGGCCAATGCATCGGCAACCTGCTGAGCGTGCCTTCGATATTCCTTAGATGATCCAAGTCCATAATTATTGTAACATGCCCAACCAACATGAAAGATGTAAAAACTAGACTGATCCACCCAAAATTCAGCATCGTCACCGAACTAGAAAGGCATGACTGAGCGTCTGCACAATTACAAAGAGCAAATTACAGGCGTCACAAAAATAACAAGAAACAACCTGACGATCATCTTCTTCCACTTCACCATCGAAATCGTCACTTCTCACATGAACGCAGATCCGTCGTCCTACTACTTTCTTGACACGTGCAGGTCGTACACGAGTTGAGTTGTTGTAGTCTAATAACTCCACTCTGTCATTCACCTGAATATACATGAAAAAACATAGTGATTGTAGACAGCAACTTGGGGTTTTCAAGAAATAAACGCCCACTTTGAAAACCGGTTCACATATGATACGTTTCCGATCCTGTTCGAACTGTCGACGAAGTGTTTGCACGTGCTGCAGAGGTATCATAGTGGCCTGGATATGCTTGGCTACTGAATCTTCGCCTTCAGCAGTCCAACGATCAGCGATAAACCTTGGTGGCATGTAAGTGTACGTAAGCTTGCTAGTTTGGATTGATCCGCCGCTAAAAACCCTGTATTAGAAACAGTAAAAGTCTTTATGCTCATTTTAAACTGTTAGTTATAAGTGGTCACATTAAAACGCTGGACCATCTTTTCAAGGCATTCTTTTTGATGATAAAACATCACGATATCGTAAAAAACAAAATGTAGGTAGGTAAAATCAGAGTGAAACTTCAAAACTGCAGGACCGCTGAACTCACTAGCCAACAGAATGAAGTATGCGACTGCCAATATTGACCCAAAAATCATGCTTGTCGTCTCCGTCTTCATCTGCACCCACCCATCGTAGCAGGAGACGATAACCAGCAATCTTCAAAACAGACTCTACATTTGCATCATCTTGTCGACTGTATTGAGGATAACAGATATAATTTATTCAAACCTTCAAGATTTTCGCCAGCCACATGCACTTCACATTATTCTCCATTAGATCATCATAATCTCGCATTTGGTATTCAACCTGTAAGCTTTGAATGCAGCGGAGTTCTCATCAGTATTTTTCAACCAATAACCAAATCCAAACTGACCAAAACGCCCTCTCTCAGCTTGTCCGTGTATTCGCCAAACAGGTGCTCGCCGAAAGCTTCTACGGGCACAACATAGGGCCATAGACGACCGTCATCAAGAAATTCGCCTTTCGAATCCCCTGTTTCCTTCAACCAAGCTGCATACTCTTCTGCTTTATCCTTCTCATCCAACTTGTTTATATCTACAAAACTCAACTTCACTTGTTGTAAGAGAGAGGTTAAGGCTTACTAGTAATAAATTTGCTCCAACTCCATGAACTTGACAGTTCACTGTGACGCATCACTCCCGGCAGCAGTTCCACGTTGTGAAATAAAGACATCTTCCTGCTAGTAATGAAAAAGATACGTGGTCACTGATTAGAAAAAGACAAAATATGCAAGGAACAGAACCATGAATGAGCACTTTATCTTCGACGATCAACTTTTATTCTGCAACAATAACTCTAACAATTCAACAATCTACAAAAAAAGAACAACAACAGCCTACTTTGAAACTGAATGGGAAAAGACAACTAGATTTCATACGGAAAAGAGTCTACCGTTGAAGTTGACCGCATGGACCGGCGTAGATTGCGGAACACGCCCCGCGCGTACTCCGCAATCTACGGCCATTTCGTGCTGTCGACGACTCTGCGATACTTAACAAAGTACTGGTTTCTGAGTATAGTTATCCCCATCTGACCATCCCCTGTGTTGCGCTACTTCTCCAATTAAGCCCAGCGCCATCAGATCTGCCTTTCAATCGTTGGAGTTTTCATGGGTCCTTTTTGTCGTTTTCTGCTGGTTCTCCACTCTTGATAAAGATTGCGTCTCAATCGGAAACAGGTCAAACTTGACTAAAAAGGGCGCGCTCACAACGCAGGGGTTTGCGCCGCAGCGCTTAAAGGCAGTGTCCGGGCAAAAACTCGATTTTGAGATTTTGTGCTTACCTGGGCCTATTCGCTATGCTGAATCCGAAAATCCACATTGGAGAGCGCGAAAACGACGAAAAAGGGCTCTAACACTGGAGGGAAATCAGCAAGTGGGCGGGGTCTTCCCCACTGTGAATTCACGCTTCCAGCTTCCAGAGCAATTTTCTCGAATCCGTTAGCCACCCTGACATCACTACCGATCAAGTGCAAACGAATGATTGAAACCAGAATCAAAAAGATCGCCCCCGAAGCTGGGAGCGTGAATTCACAGTGGGGAAGACCCCGCCCACTTGCTGATTTCCCTCCAGTATTAGAGCCCTTTTTCGTCGTTTTCGCGCTTCCCAATGTGGATTTTCGGATTCAGCATGGCGAATAGGCCCAAATAAGCACAAAATCTCAAAATCGAGTTTTTGCCCGGACACTGCCTTTAAAAGGCGTCCGGGCAAAAAGTCGATTTTGAGATTTTGTGCTTACCCGGGCCTATTCGCTATACTGAATCCAAAAATCCACACTGGAAGGCGCGAAAGCGGAGAAAAAAGGCTTTAACGCAGGAGTGAAATCAAAAGGGGGCGGAGTCTTCCCCCACTTTGATTTCACAGTCCCAGCTTCCGGAGCGATCTTTTCAATTCTGATTTTAGATCATGCATTCGCACTTGGTCTTTGGAGATGTCAGGGCAGTTAGCTTGAACTGAAAAGATCGCTTGGGATGCTGGGACCGTGAATGCACCGTGGGGAAGACCCCGCCCACTTTTAATTTCACTCCTGCGTTAGAGCCCTTTTTCGCTGTCTTCGCCCCTTCCAGTGTGGATTTTCGGATTCAGCATAGCGAATAGGCCCGGTTAAGCACAAAATCTCAAAATCGACTTTTTGCCCGGACACTGCCTTTAAAGCATTGCCGACAACATCGAGGAGATTAGGGAGAGAACAACAACAGAGGGAACCCATGCTTAGGAAACGGCCATACTATTCCTGCGAATCCTGTGATTCCTGCGGGTCCTTAACCATATATTGCGAAGAAACAATGTATACTGAGATTCGCAAAGAGCTAGTGCGGCACATCGAAGTCATTGGAATCACAAGAATTGCAGGAATTACGAATTGCAGAATCACCTCCTGGAATAGTGCCGGTCCCTTAGACTGCGTTCATCATACTGATCCGGGAGTTCGGGAGCAGTTCTAGCACAGCGCTCAGTTCGAGCACTGTGCTGGAACTGTTCTCGAACTTCGGGATCAGTCTGAACGCAGAATTATATACCTATAGCAACCCTAAACGTGACGATCACGACGATCCGAACACCATTATGCCAGTTTTGGCCTAATCTGGAGTGAGCCACACTGCTTAGTTTGGCACAATGTGGACTATGCAAAAAATTGCATGATGCGCGTCCACAGCGCTATGGATCATCACGTCTAAGGCACGGCATACTTGATACGCTTGATCCCTTCGTCATTGGTCAATTCAGTGAACCGACAAATAGTGAAGTGGATCAAGCGGATTAAGTATGGCGCGTGCCTCAAGGGCCGGGCACAGCGCGGATTCATCGCCTCGAATTCTTCCAACAATACAACTATTACAAGTCCATTGCGTACCGATTACCTGGCATTTCGATTGTGATAGTCAGTCCTGATCAGTCGTGTCGGAGAATATCACAACCGAAATGCGATATGATCGAATGCAATGGACTGATGACAGTTGTTATGTAAGGAGAATCGCGAGGTGATTCCATCATTTGGGTGTAGGACGATTCGCGCGACACACCCTACGGCGGCTTTTGCCTAAGCAAAACCGGGGAAGGAAAGATTCGCGGCGTGCATTACATGTTGAAGCAAGTCAAAATCAGGGTGACGCTGGAGACCGCCCGTGCGAAAAGACCGTCTCCTGATGGAATCGCTGAGGTATGCCTGGCACTTAAGATTTGCTGTGGGTGGTCGTGGTGGCCTGTCTTTCCGTCCTCAATCTCGTCGATCTCTCCGACATTTTCTACGCGCACATGCAGCGCAAACACGTGGTACCGAATCGACATTAACACGTTGACGACGGTGCCGCGCAATGGTGCGCGGCGGCCTTAAATTCGATACTATCTGTCCAATCCTCTCAGTTTTTGTTACAATCAAAACAGGCTCAGATGTACTTCATGTATTAGCCCCGCCCCTTTTGGCAAACTCCGCCCACTTTTATGCCTCTCACAAGGATTCTTATTGTCCAAAAGCATGGATGAGGCTGTAGATGAACGCAAAGACTTCAAGCAACTTCTAGCCGGGCCCCGCCCACCGTCAAGCAAGCTCCGCCCCCTGAGTGGCAAACTCCGCCCACTTTCCAAAAGTGGCGGAAATCGCATAAATTGAAATTTGGACAATTTGCGACATTTTTGGTCGACTGGGCGGAGCTTGCCAGAGGGGGCGGGCTTGCACATTTTGTACTTCGTCATGGATGCATGCATACATACATGGGCCACGCGTAGAGGGATGCATGGAAACGTCTCGTCCACAGGGACAGACCGCAAAAAAATGGCTCGTCGTCAACGTGTTAAAAAAGTTGGATGCCAACGGATATCCATCACCTTCATGGTGCGTGATGCGTAGCTTCGCGACGATATAACTATGACTCTCGATAAGGTATTAGGCAAGGGACATACCTTAGGCGATTTCAGTCGCCATGCGATCTGGCAATTTGCCAGATGTTCTTAAATACAATAATGTTAGACCCCAAATGCACAGCATGTATAACTTTCGTAGGTTGATAAAATGCCCCATCTCCCGTACATTCGGAGACCCCGTACGATGAGTTATGAACATCTGGAGTATTGCCAAATCGCGTCGCGACTGAAATCGCGTGAGGTATGTCCGAGGCCTTAGAATTTAAAAAATTGTGAAGGTCGACTGCGGTCTTTGCGCACACAGAAAGCTGCATACTATAACAAAAGCTACTGTGATAGTACAGTAAGTTTCAACCTGTTCAAGCGGAAATCGGAATGGCGGGCGTCCGCATCGCAACGGTTCGCGCTGTTTCGAGCTACAATACATCATATCGTGCTAACAGTCCGTCCGCGCCTCTTCATTTTCCTGTCTTTGCATGGTAAAATGCCAGCGCTGTGCGCTCGCAAAGCCCTCAGCAATGCGGACGCGCTGTTTCACGTCAGATGTTCGCCTAATCCTCATGCATCTTCACTGTTCCGAAACGATATTTTGCGCCGCCGCCTGGGCATTGGCTTGATAAATAATCCTCCTAACATAAAGTGCGAGAAGCTCAAGATTCCTAACTTAAGGTGGACGGTGCCTTGAAGCACGCGCCATAGTTGACCCACTTGATGTGCTTGATCCACTTCACCCATTTCGCTACTGGTTAAATCGGCAAGCTGACCAATAGCGAAGCAAATGTCCACTTTTCACTTAATCCACTTCGTTATAGGCGTCAATGAGTTGACCAATACAGAAGTGGATCGACTATGGTGCATCTCTTGCATTTGCGACATGGGCCTGCATGAACTCCTCCAGCGCATACAAAACTAGCTAGCGCGCAGCTTTGAGGGCAGTTTTCTCGGCAGCGAGACGTTTGCATGATGTGTACATTAATGACAATTGACGAACTCAAAATTTCGATACAAAGATTTTTTACTGTCACGGTCTACTAGATTAGCTAGGAATCAACAGGCCCCTCTGTTGGTGGGCTCGCTTTTGAGGGACTCGCCATTTTAACACCTTTGGCGGTTTTGAGAGCTTCAAAAAATGCGCAAGTATACTGATTCTGTAACATTGACAAACGGTTTCTTGTATAGTAGCTGGTGATTCTTTCCTCTTTCACAACTTCGAAACCTGTCAGCTGCACAATTCTCATTATCTCCTCGTATGGAAGTTCGATCGACATCTACAATTCTTTTGAAGAAAAATCCGATACAGAAAAAATGAGTACCTCGTCTAGCATGTCCTCGTAGTGATAGGTGAGTGGGCCGACATTCAACCAAAAACCTCCCGGTTTCAGTAGCCGGTAGATGGTTTCTGGAAGCACAGAAGCCGTCAATGTCAATTTTATCAACCTGTTAAAGGCAGCGGCTTGGCAGAATGACAACTTTGGCACGCGCCATACTTGGTCCGCTTAATCCACTCGATCCGCTTGATCCGCTTCGTCATTGGTCGATCCAATGAATCGAGCAATAGCGAAGCGGTTCGTCCGCTTGATCCGCCTCATCTACTTCACTATTGGTCAGTTCACTGAATTGACCAATGGATGAGCTAAGTTCAAGACTATGTATTGCAGCTTCAAAAGACAATAACCCGCTTTACCAGACGTGAAAAGAGCTGTTTGGGCGTGCGAAAGCTGCTGGAGCCACATGCATACGCCGCCCGCCCAAATGCCACTTCTCACGTGTGGAAAAGCGATGATATCTTTTGAAGCTGCAAAGCACAGTCTCGGACTCAGCTCATCCAGCGGGATCGAGAACGATGAATAAACCAAAGCTGTCAATTTGTCGAGCCGCTGCCTTTAAAGGAAGTGGGGGTTTGGGGATTTCAGTGTCATGCGAAAGTGGCCCCCTCAGACACAGCATCCCGCAAGTACGAGGTTATAACATTCGACCTAAAGCAAGAAAAAGGATCGGAAAGTGGGGGAACTTACGCCTTGGGGGCGAGGTCCTCCGACCTGTTTGAGTTCCTGTTAGGGATCGGCCATACTATTCCTGCTATTCCTACGACTCCTGCGATTCCTGGGAGTCCCGCACAGTTTAGACGCCGCTTAAATGAGCGCGTGTTGCGTAAAACAACACGTAACACGCAACACGCGCTCATTCAAGCGGCGTCTAAACTGTGCGGGACTCACAGGAATCGCAGGAATCGTAGGAGTCGTAGGAATAGCAGGAGTAGTATGGCCGATCCCTTAGGCGGCAGAGGCAGACTCTTCGGGATCGGCCATACTACTCCTGCTATACCTACGACTCCTGCGATTCCTGCGATTCCTTTGAGTCCCGCACAGTTTATACGCCGCTTAAATGAGCGATTGTTGCGTGTTACGTGTTGTTTTACGCAACACGCGCTCATTTGAGCGGCGTCTAAACTGTGCGGGACTCACAGGAATCGCAGGAATCGCAGGAGTCGTAGGAATAGCAGGAATAGTATGGCCGATCCCTTCAAGTTTGAGTGCGGCATCGCCACAGTTAAACTTGAAGGGTCCCGCCGCGACTCTGCGTCCCTGCCTTTCCGGGGAATGTCGAATTTCGAATTGTATGGCTTTGGAAAACGCATGTTCTCGCCGTTTTCGCGCCCTAATGTGGATTTTTAGGACTCAGCGTTGCAGATAACTCCCGGTAAGTGGATTTCCTTGAAATCGAGTTTTTGCCCAGACACTGCCTTTAACACTTTTCAGTCGACCGACATATCACTACAGCAGTTACCCTAGTGCGTGGTCTGCTAGGAAATCTAATTTTGGAGAGACATTTGATTCCAATTGCGTAGATGAAAGGGCCTATCAGCCTACTACATCATGAGTCACCAAATTCGAAAATGAAAAATACAAAAACTCCAATTTGGGTACTACTTCATTTGAACTCACGCACATGTTCCGCCCTTTGCGTAGAAGCGATATATCTAATTCAATGATCTGGTGTGGAAGCGAGTGATGCGTGACAAGAAAGAACTCAGATACATGAAAACAAACGAGAAAAGCCATAAATGCCATAATTTTTTTTGCTTTTTTGTTTTGTTTTGGAGCACTTTGTGTGTATTTTAAATAAATAAATAAATAAATAAACTGAGTTTACCTATATAATCAATAACATTCTTCGCTGTATCGATGAACCATGCCGTTACCACACAATCAAATGTTTCGCATCTCGACTTAGTCACTTCCAGAAAGTCTCCCGCAATCATGGAGAAGTTCAAGGGGACCTGGAAAGAAGCGAGAGACAAAGACATTTGTTATTTGTGAAAGACTTGCATTTTTTTGTCCGAGAAGATAAACTTGAACTCACCTCCCTTTGCGTCTTCCCAGTGTCTGGAAAGTAGACTGGTCTCGTTTGATCAGCATATGACCAGCAATTGCTTTTATCGAGAGTATATGGGTATATGAAGTGCTCGTTTTCCTAGTAAGCGAATACATTTTGCTTACAATTGTGCTTTCCTATGTGGTGGGATGAAGTGAGTAGACGAAGTTAGGTACCTTCAGGCAGCCGTTCAACAGGAATGATGACGTCATCAACATGATCATGCTATATTCGTTGCCTTCCACAGTAAAACCTTCCTCTGCTAGGTCAAAGGCCAGCCTACCTGAATCCAAACAATTACCTATTTCTTTTTTCAAAAAAGTAACTAACCAAGCCCCGAGCCAGGTACCATTATTTTTACCGCTCCTCTCAAGTCCCGGTCAGGATATTTTTTCCGCAGCACCTCTACAAGGGGCACAAAGGTGGCCTCACGTTCAGATTTACCTAAGCACAATACTCAACATGAAGACACATAACGAGGTCATATGCGATCACAAAATGGAATCAAAATTGTAAAATCTTCATACTAGCTGACTCTCAAGAAAAAAGCTCACCTTCGAGACTCCACTCTCTCACAATCTGCCTTAAAGTACTCAGAACTTTCCCCATGTAGTGTGGATCAGGACGCCTGAGCAGAAAAAACCAACTCAGAACGTATGAAAGAGGCAGAAAAGTTTGGAACTTGTTTAAGATTCACTAAATCACCGTTTCTGTCTTATTTTCCATGTCTTCTCAGCGAACTCCTCGCCGAACACGTTCATACCATACATCACAATTCTTTGAAGAACTCTAAAATCAGCTGAAGTGGCCTCAGTGATGGCAACCTTAACGAAGCTAAAGCTTACTCCTGGTTGTGATCTACACATTCGAGCACCTTTCGCATATGGTCATTGTGTGATTTGAGTATAATGCTTTTGTGATCAGGTGAAAGTTGCCTAAGAAGGATTTACTTATGAACAACATGTAAATCCTGTATTGCATACTTGTAAGACATCATAGTTCTGAGGGCCACTTCTCGGCCATGTAAACCATAACTGAGGAATGCATTCAAAATTTTTTCGGCTTCTTTGATCTCACTGTCCAGCTCTGTTTCTGGTCCTAGCGCAATCTAAAAAATGCGGTACACATTTAGGTTGACAACGAGATCTCATGGTGTTTGAAAGCAAGGCTGAACATTCAAATCTAGTAATAAAAATTGTGAAGGCCTGCAGACCAAACAACCGCATTATGCACCCCCGCACTAGATAGAAACAGAACAGTACAACATTCGGCTACACTCGTTCTATTACGAGATTATGGCATTACATATTTGCTGACTTCTTCTCTAGAACACTCAAAACGGTTTTTGTGGTATTAGGTAGTAGACCCTCAAGCGCACCGCAGCCCAAACCTCAATTGCCATTCCAAGCAATAAATCATGAAAACTCGCTTGGCAAGTCTGTCATCGACGCCCAGTCAACGGAAGTGGGCAAGGCTGGTGGACTTTCGAAGAGCATTCAGGACTTATCGCATGAATTGCTGAGGATGGGGATGGGATGTATATACTTGGAAGGTCTACTACCTGCAATAACAAAAATCTGACAAGTCAAGTATGCAGAACAACTGTCTTTGATCCTCCATATATAGCATTTGATCGCTCTAACATGAAAAAGTTTCAGAAACGTTTCCTCATTTCCAATGATTTTATTGATGAAGAAGGGTTTGTGGATTTTATATCATCTCATCATATAAACTATGCCTGCTCTGAAGGCCATTTAGTTTAGCAGCCTTCATTTGCACGAGAAAAAAAACAGATCTGAGCTGGTAACCAACATTGTGAATACCTCTCAATTTTCGCAGACCTTTTCAAAAAAGGTCTTTTTTGAGAACAAAGTGCTTTGCCTTCACCACGTAGAGAACTCAAAAGTGACCTCAAGCCTACCCCATTGTGATCGTGTTCGCACTGGTCTGCGTGGCTGGTGGAGGCCTCACAAGACATGCAAGACCTTAAGGTCAGTAACCTGTAATCATATACGGTTCAAAGACGACATAAATGAGGACTAAAATGTGGGAACCACGCTATACTGGGCAAAACCAAACAACACTAGCGCCACTTTCCAAGCCAATCTATAATAAACCAAATGCATGACAAAAACTCGGTTTGGTCGATGGGGTCCAGCTTACTGCATTATTTATCCTAACCCTCAACATCAACAAGCCTATATTTTGAGAGTGATTTCAATCAAATTTACTAGAACGATACGAATCGTCATCGCCATGCACGAAGAAGTTGTAAAAACACGAAAAGCATAAGAACTTTATTAGAATGAAGAAGGAAAGAAACGCAAAATTGATAAAAACATAAAGATCGTGTACGTAAAAATTCATAGAGTAATGCAGATAAACGTGGTAAAACCGAATGAGGTTTAAAGATGGAGTCGCTTCTTACTTCAGAGCGAAAAACTCTTCATCAGAATCAAACTCATCCAACACAATGGTTTTCTTGGAATTTTCCACCCTGTAGAACATATAGATAGATACAAACAAAATCGTGACCACGTTTTCTGAACAAGAATGATTTACATGGTAAACATGTTCGTAGAAGCAATTAGACACCAACCTTTCCGCGCTCTTTCTTGCATCCGACTTAGTCGCACCAAACCCGCTTTTTGGTGTTGTTGTAGGCGTTTCCAGCCGATTTCTGCGTTTCGAGTTACTAAGCCTAATCATCTTCGAAGTTGCAGCGTTAGATCGCGAGTTCCTGACTTCAGACACCGCGCTGTTGGTAAGCTTCGGAGTTGTAGACAGCTGCTCACTGCCACCACTATTGCATGGAGTCGGACGGCTTGACTTTGGGATAGAAGATTGCCGATCTGCAATATTTGTGTAAGATGTCAGAAACAGAAGTGGAGGAAAATTTTCAGCGAGATAGATAGAAAAAAATCACCTTCCTCACCATCTGGTTGCAGCTTTTGTGGTTCATCATCGAAAAAGGAGAACTCCGAAAATTCTAAACAAAATATTAAGTTGGCTTCCAATAAACGCAACTACAACATCAAGTTATGAAAAAAGTAACGTCGATGCTTTTGTGAGTTTCAGTTCAGCTTGATAACATCGGAAGATCGTATACTTTGCCTAATTTCCGTATAGTGAGTAGGAACAAAACGGAATTAGGTGATTTTTTTTGTTTTTGTTTATCGTATAAAATTACATATAACGTCTCATTTGATTTGCTCAAAACCAAGCGGAATTCAAAAGAATGCTGCATCCATAGCACATCCAAAACAAACTTTGAATTAGAATTGCCCAACTCCCCCTTTCTCCAAAAGTCCCCTTTTCACAACTGTCCAAAGAGCGGGCATAGTGCTCAAGACATTTTTCATTTACGTCATTAATCGATGCACAGCGACGCTATGGAATGCAGTTCCTCCTCAGTGGTAGGTTTTGCACTTGTTAATATCGCTCTGAATTCTAACGGGAGTCACAAAGTGATCAATCATCAGATGAGAGTAACTTAGAAAACCCTTAAACGTAAAGAAAACTGCCAGGCAAATTCAAATTGAAAATTTTAGTGAATTAAACCCGCTGAGTATTCAGACTACCTTGCTTTGGAAGCAAAGAAGTCCGCATTGCTTACGTTGGATAGAATTACTGGCCCCAATCATGTTGCTACTCAGTTCAAAGATAATTTAAAAAAATATTTTGGCAACTAGTCTAGCAGAAAAATTGGCTAATTTAGAAAGAGGAAAAAAACTTGCAACTTACTCACTGACCATCCGTCATTTGATCTTGCAACGGGACCGATGTTCTTTCCCTTATTCTTGGAAGTCTCGGCCTGCTGTATCTTGTCAGGAATGTCAAACAGATCATCAAACCCATCAGAACTATTTTCTAAACACAGCTAACTAGAAACGAGAACTTCAAAATGTGGTCAGATGTGATCTATGGAAATGTCGGCACAAAACCTAACCTTTCAAAGGAGTATTAAATAAGTCAGGACTCGCTGTCTTCTTCTCGGAGCAGATGCTTGATTTCGATGGTGTGCTCTCATCAATCATACACTTCTAAACGAAACTGAGCACTGTAAGCACTTCATTAGCCTCGAATCCTTGTGCAAGGGAAGTGAAGGGTTAGTAAGACAGAATACCCAATCGCTGAAGCGCTCACATTTGTTTTCATATCGAGAGCTTGCTTCACAGGTGTAGAAATTCCACTGCTGACATTTTTGGGGACCTTAGACGATCCCTGGGCACTGCTGTCAATGCCTGGGTTCTAGGAAACACTGAATTAAATAGAAGAGGTGAGCAAAACAACTGACATCCAATTTCTTTCGCTGAGATCTCCGTAGTGTGGGCGCTGGTGAAAAGGGTGTGCTAGCACACAGCGGAGGCTCCTCTAGTGTAGGTAAGATGTCCATAGAAGAAAGACGTATCTAAAAAAGCATGGTACAAGATGACCCGAATCACCTCTCTCATATTCGAATTATTCTTCAGTCAATTCATACTACCATATCGTTGCAAAATCTTTACATTTTCTTCATTTTGCATCCTACTGTGTTTAGATCCTTCCAGCACAGCACCCATAACCAGAGCAACTTTGTCAAAACTCTCCTCGAAAATTGATGAATAAGACAAAGCAAAATGGTCATTATCTGACTATTTTTCAAAAAAACTCACTTTTTCTTCTGCATCTTCCATATCATCGAAAACCATAACTTCATCTTCGTTTTGTCTCTTTTTCTCTGCTGAAGGTGAGGAGCGAGAATTTTCGTCCAAATTCGAGAGCGGCGTCAATCTAGCCGCTCGCAATGACGCAGCGCCATTTTTGGTCCCTGAACAGATAGTTCAGCCACAGATGAGCAATATTTTATCTACTACCCAATCTCGCACGAGAGCCTCGTCTGCTGTTGCCTAGTTCCTTGCCGTTTAGACGCTGTCGTTTCGTTACTGGACGCTCAAAATCACCCAGATCAATGTCCGCAGCTTTGGAGACCATGTTCAGCTGAAACGTTATTTTCAATAGATGTAGAGCAAAGAAGTTACACACCAGTTGCTTATTCCTTCTCATTAGAAGAGCTACATCTGCAGCATTCACATTCTGGCGTCCAGCATGGCTAAATACCAAAGGCATACAAGTGTACCGCACAACCACAACACAAATTTTTCATATAAGAGAAGGTATGAAAAAAAGATATCTAGAATTAGGATTCAAACCTGGAAAAAGCAAGGAGATCAGTGGTCCAGTCACCAGTCACGGTGTCCCATATCAATGCGCTCACTTGGGCTATCACATCTGGATGGAACGAAGTTTGCCCTATAAGTAATATGAGATAGCATGTGTCGGGCTAAGCTAATCACTTGAGATCACTCTCCAAAATAGGGGATCTCAACTTTGAGATGAAAAGAAAAATTTGCACAAACTCAAAGGTGATACAAACAAACAGATTTGTGAAAAACAACGCTTGCTATAGGTGATAACAGAAAACTTACGAATTGGCACTGCACTAACCTACACCATCCTCGCGAAGCCTTTGCACGACATCGTCAGCTGCTTTGAGCACAGAGACCTGTATAGATTTTTGAAGTTCCTGCAAATAAACGAAAACCGCTAGTTTGACACGAGAAACAACTGAATCGATAAATAACCCAGTAGGTGCGTTTTCTAACGTCTTCTTCCATGAAACACGGTATTGCGCAAGAAATATACTTTATTGAGTCAACAATAACAAAAACAAAACAAAAGGAAGGCAGCACTACTAGTAAATGTTACTTGGCCGTGTTATCCAGTAGGCAACGTTTGAGCGATATTAAATACGGTAATTCAGCATCTCTTTGTTCATCTTTAAGGATACACAAATCGTCCATAATATAATCAAATTCGGGAATAAATTGGTATGTGAATCTACTATCATCTTCAATATATTCAAGAAACCGATCCAAACTGCCTTTTCTCTTTGGACTGCAAACATATACAAGACCAGTTTTGGTAAGATACCTATCAAATGTGTTTACCAAATCTTCATGATACTCTGCAAAAAATACACAATCTGCGGCTAGAATAAGGTCGAATTTCTTCTCATCTGGCCCGGCTCCCCATCTCAAGAGCTCGATTTCAACGTTTGGGAGCGGATTTCGCTTGGCGATATCTCGGAGAGACGCTACTGAATGCTCATTGCCGTCCGTAATTCTGACCCGTGTTGCGTAGATGGCAGCAATAAAACCCGGTAGTCCAATGAGACCTGCTCCTAGCTCCAGCACCAATTTACCCGACACCAGCGGCGGTCGGATTGACAAGTAGTAAGCGAGCGCCTCACCTCCCGGCCATATGCGCACGTTGCCGGTGTTGTCGAAGCCAGCGATGTGACGTAAAGACGTCCGATCCTCAGGCAGCGCTATGTCAATACAGAACGGTGAGTCACGCACACATAACGAGTACACATCGTCTTCGGCTTCTGAATCTGACGATGTCATCGAGAAGAGACGCAACGTTGAGCGTAGACTTCGATCCGATTTTTTCGCACGGCGTGGCGGTCGCGTCGTTCGACGCATCTTTTCGGCAAGACAAGCCCAGTTGCCACGTGCTCGGCGACTCTAAAACTGCGCTGAACATCAGTAATTCGCTAGAGCACCCTCGATATTACAAGTGAACAACTCCAACCTTTTAAGAGACATTACAAAAAAGATTAATTGTCATGTTTAGTGTTGCTCGAGCAAAGTTTTGGTAGAAAATTAGCAGTAACTGTTAGTTCTTTCTCATAGTATGCAGCATAAAAGCAACTCAGGAATCAAAAGCTGTTGAACAGGACAGGGCGAGCTGTTACCAACTAAACGCGATCAAGACATGACTTTGGCATAATCTCTCACAAAGAGACAAAACTGTGTGTTCACCACAGGTTGTCTCTGATTTTGTGAGATTATGCCAAAATCATGCCTCTCTCTCTGTCTCTGTCTCACCAAACAAGTATAACATATTCTGGTAGGTACTATATCTTCCCCATCTTTGGAAAACCTTCTACATACCGAATAACGCCCAAATAATTCATAAAATTATGCAAATGAATAATCTTTATATGCGAAGAACCAAAATAAACTATAATTTTTTGCAGATGCATAACTTCGAGAAATTATTTTCTGATGTGGGGGTGCGAAGCTAACGCCAAGCTCCTTCATTCGAAAGGATTTTCTCGTGCCTTTGAATCGTATATATAACTAGCTGGCTTACCCGGCTCCGCCGTATGTTCCGAATAGAAAATTCCATTTCTTAACCGATCCGGACCAAACTTGGCACACATACACTTCGGCCACTTTTCGTTATCGATCGATGTCGATTTCATCAATTTTTTGCAAAATTTGAGCTAGGGGGCTGGAATTTGGCAGAGGGGTGTAATCGAGCATGCTGATCACCCCCACGGGGGTGATCAGCATGCTCGATTACCCCCCCCCCCTGTGCCAACTCCCAGCCCCCTAGCTCAAATTTTGCAAAAAAATTGATAAAATCGACATCGATCGATGACGAAAAGTAGCCTATGACACCCGCCGGGGCCCGAAGTGTATGTGTGCTAAGTTTGGTCCCGATCGGTTCAGAAATGGAATTTTCTATTCGGAACATACGTACATACATACAGACATACAGACATACATACAAACAGACATTCAGCTTTATATATAAGATACTAAAAGAATGGTGAGGACCAGAAAGACGTGGCTAAACTCTCATTTTCTCAAAAATGATCGAGTCAAAGCTTCAGAAAATGAAGAAATCAAGTCACGGCATCAGTCAATAGTGAACATCGAGGCAGCGTCGATGCAAAGAAACAAGCTCAAACACCCGTATGAAACTTTTACCGCACAAAAAAGCTCCAATATAGACATATATGTTTTGGCACATTGGGAATAATCTAGCAAGTCTTGTCTACGGAAGGTAAAAAAATTTTCATTCATTAAATTCTATTTAGTTATTGACTTTTCAGTAAACACGATCAACTAACCGAAAAGGTCGCATGTGCCTCGAATCGTCAGTTGTTCCGAAAAATGTATTTGATAGTGAAAGTGTATACAATGTGAATCTTTTGTTTCGCGGAGAATACATTATGAGCACTTGCACTACCTATAACTTTTTTCTGTCAAAACGCTTTTTGCTCTTTTACAGCACAAATAAACACGACTTATCAGCACTCCCCCCCTCCCCCTGCTGGCGACAGTGAAAGGATTTATATTTGCCCTGTAAGCAACCTCTCATCGTACACAAAAACAAAATCACATGTAAGCAAAGATGACTCTCCGGCTTTTCAACAAAGAGCAACAATCGATCCAGGTAATCATGCGCTTTTAATGTCGTGAAGTATGCACGACCGTGAGGCTCGGTTGCGCTGAACATATACGAAAAGCAGAAGCAGGGGGTAACACTATTTCAAAGCGAGAAGAGAGGAAAACCCTGGGCATAATGCCATTTTGGATTAGAAGTGTACTTGCCGCTCACTGGGTAAAGATTTCTAGAGATAATCAAGTAGTTAAAATGCGTGGGGATAGGCAGCGTAACCAAAAAGTACTCGCTCCCTCAATCTGATGTTTGAAGGACGGAGATGCAGTGATGCAAAGAAAGCTAATCTACTCCATAAGCGCATGCAATAATAAAACCCAAGCATCATTGAAGAGCAGATTTACATATTACATTGCAAGCTTAACGGAGAAAGTTCCTAGCTCACATGACTGCCAAAGCTACTTTACAGCTCCAACCTTTCAAATGAAAAAACACGTTCGTCAAAACGCAAGAGGTTTTGCTCAAAAATTGTTATCCTGCATTGCTAGTTCATAACAGTTTGGCTCGTTTCTGTTGATCGATCTGTTTGTGACGCAAAGTTTGAAAAAAAGCGAAGCCAAAGTTGAATAGTTTACTGAATTGTTATTGCAAAAACTTTAACTTTTGAATTCGAAATTCCATGTTTAAGAAGCAGCATTAATCTTTGAAGTTGCGAACATAACATTCACTTGATCTAAAAACACAACGATAGAAGGCAAAACGTGTTCACAAATCTTGTAATTTGCAAGGTTCTGAAAGCGCTTTAGTTTTTGCCTTTACAACGTATACCTCCTTACACAACAAACTTATTGGTGAGCTATGAACTAATAATATTCGATTCAGGCAGTGAACGGCTATCTGAAGCATTTTTCAGATCCTAACAACATCCGTTGCGAAAAAACAAAAAAAAAATGAAAATTACAGAAGATGGACTTACCACCTCAATAAAAGCTAACGCAAAATGATGACAAATGCACAGAAACTAGCGCCCTCGCAGTTCATATAATGTTCCTACTGATAAGCGTTCTATTTTTTTCTTTTGACTACGTCGCCTATTACCGTCATTTCACGGAGAAGACAGTGGAAAGTGCAGAAAGATGAACCAAATCAGATAAGATACTTACCGTTTCATTTATAAAGTCATTATTTGTATCTGGTGCTAACTTTTTCGAGGTTGACGGGCCTTTTGATGACGTCATCTCTTCCGTGTCTGGCTCTGCCTTTCGTTTCATAATCTGAAATTATATTTATTAACAGTGCAACACGAAAAAACAACAATTTGCGAAGATATTGAATGGAAGGAGGAAATGTAAATTGCTTTTGATGAAAAGAGTGCATAAGAAACGATTGCGAATGGAATAACGATAAGCCACTGCTTAGAGGCTACACAAAAAGCCAGAGACTCCTGGACTTCGGGATGTAACCATGCATTCTAACAGTAATAGCTGATGAGTCAATAGTTACAAATACTGAGGTATGTATCGATTTCAGCTTTTTGATTCAGGATCGAATTGTTTGAAGGTTTATAGACATCACCAATGATGTGAGACACAAATTACATGTTGAAAAAGGTGAACAGTCCGCCATATGTGGAGATAGGTTAGCGAGAACATAAAGGAATTCATAGATGTTACACACCAAATAAGCATTTCGTGCTCTATATATGTGATCCCAAACCCTATACTACAGGGGACGTATTCCGGCTGCTCTTAATAACTCTTCCGTGTGCTTTAGAGCACAACCCTCTCTCACAATGCGATAAAAATCATCTTGAGTAAGGTCCACGATAGTGCTGCCCTCGTTGCTATTACAGCTGTCAGCCGAAGCCTTTCCTATGACCCCGCCATCAAGCACAAGATCGATTTGATCCATCAGATCAGTGAAATCCCCGACTTTAGTGGGATTCACCGGCGATCCACTAACGTTAGCCGAAGTTTGAGCAAGTGGACGACCCAGACGAGCACAGAGAGCTCGAACCAGTAGCGAATCCGGCACTCGCACGCCGACGTTTTCAACGTCTGGATTAAAACTGCGAGTTAGAGTGGGCAATCGATTCAGTATTAGAGTAACAGGTCCAGGTAGAAGCTGGCCGGCGAGCACAGCCGGGATGTTCAGACGTGCCCAGCGAGGGATCTCTGCCGGATCGGCAAGGAATAAACCGAGTGGTTTCGCTCTATCACGTCTCTTCAACGCGTACAGTTTATCGGAATGTTCGATGAGGGTCGATACGCCATACAGCGTGTCAGTTGGAAGTGCAACAATCCCACCGCCAAGTAACACATCGGCTGCCGCTTCAATGACTTCTTCGAATGTCTCTGGAGTGATCCGAAGCACTCGGGCCAAACTGGTGAGCGTTTCCGCTGGCATTGCAAAAGTGCAGTGCAGTCGGAGATTCCTGGAAACAACAGAGGTGTGAAATTCCGATATTATGAATCAGGGGATGGTAGCATAGAGGACCAGTTCGATCAAACGTGGCATTGATCAAGAAGAATAGATGGGGAATGACAATTCCAAATAGGAGTTTGTAAAAGGATAAAACATATATAGATATAGCTTAGACAAAGTAAATGACTTTCCAACAGTATCTCAGATACTACGCAACTGCAAAACTACAAAACTGAACAAAATGCTCAGTAAACTTAATCAAGAAAAGTGAGACTCACTTGATTTACTGAGCAATCTCCCCCCTTCCTCCAGATCTACGACGCACTTCTTGTTCAGAGAAAGTTTGAGTCTCTAAAGACTTGAATGAGATGACATTAACTGAAAGTAAAACGCTAAATCAACATCAGCAACGACAAACAATGGACATCGAGTATATGTAAAATCAGGAACTACATAGGCCTCAAAACTATCAAGCCAAAGTGATTTTTTGAGCAATTCTTGCATCAGTAATTATTTAGACGATATGGAAGCTGCAAGGCCGCAGGATATAACTTCTGTTTTACAATAAAAAGATTTGGATAGAAGTATGAGAGCTGGGCAGCTGTGTGTCGAGAAATGTGCTATATGAACAGGAAGGAGAAAAATTGGCACTTCGCCATTGAAGGAAATGAACAGTGCGCAGCACAGATGTAATGCGAAATTACAAGAGGTGTGGATGAAAGCAGGAGTACAATGAGCCTATGAGCCCATGAACTTCTTTACCCCCGATGATCGCGCTTGTCTTCTCTTCAAGGTGATCTTGCTTAAAGGCAGTGTCCGGGCAAAAACTCGATTTTGAGATTTTGTGCTTATATGGGCCTACTCGCCATGCTGAATCCGAAAATCCACATTGGAAAGCGCGAAAACGGCGAAAAAGGGCTCTAACGCAGGAGGGAAATCAGCAAGTGCGCGGGGCTTTCCCCAGAGCGATTTCACGCTCCCAGCTCCCGGAGCGATTTTCTCGATTCCGCTAGCCGTTCTAACATCGCTACCGGCCAAGTGCGAATAATTCACTTGAAACCGGAAGCAAGAAGGTCGCTCCGGAAGCCGGGAACGTGAATTCGCAGTGGGGAGGACCCCGCCCACCTGCTCAATTCCCTCCTGTGTTAGAGCCGTTTTTCGCCATTTTCGCGCTCTACAATGTGCATTTTCGGATTCAGCGTAGCGAATAGGCCCAAGTAAGCACAAAATCTCAAAATCGAGTTTTTGCCAGGACACTGCCTTTAAAAAGTCAAGAAACTTCGACTTAATCTATTAGAACCCTGCTGATTGCCTGGCCAAGAGACCGCACCACCTCCCCCATTCGACCGCAGCAATGGCTACGTATGGCACAGGCCCTTGATCCTAATCCGCTTCCACTTCATTCACGTTGCTATTGGTCAAATCGATGAACGATCAATAGCGAAATGGGTCAGATTAATCAAGTGGATCAAAAGGACATCCACTTCGCTATTCGTCAATTCACTAATTTGACCAATAGCGAAGTAGACGCAGTGGATCAAGCGGATCAATGGCGCGTGCCTATGGTATCAAACATAGCTTGCCTGCAACTGGTGCCAGTGTTGCCAGTCGTTGTAGAACCCCTTATTCTCCAAGTGTTATGCGGTGTCTAAGGCTTGTTCATACTGATCCGGAAGTTCCGGAACAGCTCCAGCACAAATCACCAGCTGTGCTGGAACTATGCCGGAACTGTGCTACACGCATCGCAGCCGCCCGCGGTTTTGAGCGGAGGGAGCAGGAGATTTTTGTACGTTTTCAACGGGTTTTCTCTCAAATTTCACACATTTCGGCATCATTCCACTACCCCGTTTTTCATTTTGATGAGAAGAGCCTCGATTTAGAGTGGTGTTGGGGAATGAACGCCGTATGCTTCCATGTCTTTGCCCTTTTCAATACAGAGGAAGCTACGAAGCGGCTTCATGGAACACATCAAGTAGGTCTGAAAAAATATAGCGAAGAGAGAATGGACGAGCGCACAAAAACACATCTCCCCGTTACGTAAATCACAGGAACGTTCATTCTTCGACAGCGCTTCAAATTCGCAGCTTTGCTCATCACAAGGAAAAGCGGAGTATAGTCGTCCTCACCCCACTAGTCGGTCGGTGGACGAATTCGAATTCGAAGTGGAGCAGGCAGGTCGCGGCAGAGCACGGCACCTTAGCTCTCCGTTCAAATTCACGCATTCACTTTGCGTATTTCTTCGCCATTGCTTAGCAGTTTTTGTATTGTTACAACGTTTTTGATCTATATTGAATTTTTGTAATTGCTGAGCGTTGTCTCCTGCCACGCTCTGCCGTGACAGGCCTGCTTCAATTCAAATTTGAATTCGTCCACCGACCGACTAGTGGGGTGAGGGCGACTATAGAAGATATAACAGGTAATAATATGGAGAAAGGAAAGGGGCTAAGAACATCCAAGAGCGGAATTTAAGATAAAACTACAAAAAAGTCCCGGTTCGCATTTTGAAAATGGTCCATATGTATGCTCTGGCCGAAGCCACATGGCTGTGGAAACTAAGCAGCGGCTTCCTAGAACACATGAAATATAGGGCATTCGAAGAATCGTTCACTCGAGTAGGTTTTCCGCTTAATATAGTGTGCTTGCACTGAAGGTGAAATGCGGTAAAATTTGCGCGTGAACAAGTAGCCACGCCTTTAATGCCAGCCTTTTGCGCGCGCAATTGGCCGGCGTCACAGGCGCAGCTCTTTGTTGACGCGCAAATTTGACGGAATTTCACCTCCAGTGCAAACACACTATATTAAGCGGGAAATCTACTCGAATGAAACGATGGCGCGACCGCGCGCGACACGCATGCACTTCCGGCAACAGCATTTTCTCGGTACTCATCTTTACTTGAATGATTTTTCTGCTTACGTATGGTACTATTCAGACACAAGAAATGAGTGATGAGCTTTAAAGGCAGTGTCCGGGCAAAAAGTCGATTTTGAAATTTTTTGCTTACCCGGGCCTATTCGCTACGCTGAATCCGAAAATGCACATCGGAGAGCGCGAAAATGGCGAAAAACGGCTCTAACACAGGAGGGAAATGAGCAGGTGGGCGGGGTCCTCCCCACTGCGAATTCACGTTCCCGGCTTCGGGGGCGATCTTTTTGATTCCGGTTTCAAGTCATTCGTTTGCACTTGATCGGTAGTGATGTCAGGGCGGCTAAGGGATTCGAGAAAATTGCTCTGGAAGCTGGAAGTGTGAATTCACAGTGGGGAAGACCCCGCCCCCTTGCTGATTTCCCTCCATTGTTAGGGCCCTTTTTCGTCGCTTTCGCGCTCTCCGATGTGGATTTTCGGATTCAGCATAGCTAATAGGCCCGGGTAAGCACAAAATCTCAAAATCGAGTTTTTGCCCGGACACTGCCTTTAAGGTGAGTCCTCTTCGTATGAGCTTTTGTGCTCCTGTGGGCGCAAAGGCCGCAGTCAAATCTGTCTTCACGATTTAAATGACCTACAATCGAGTAGATTTTCCGCTCAATATAGTGTGCTTGCACTGAAGGTGAAATGCGGTAAAATTTGCGCGTGATCAAATAGCTGCGCCTGTGACGCCGACCAATTGCGCGTGAAAAAGACTGGCATTACTAGCGTAGCTTTCTACTCACGCGCAAATTTTACCGCATTTCAGCTTCAGTCCAAGCACACTATATTAAGCGGAAAATCTACTCGACTTATCGTCCCCTCCACAGCTCGTGCTACCCTTAGTCTGCGTCTCAGACCTGCCACGTGTGCCTAACATGTTGCCAACGTGGCAACAACATGTTTGCAACATGCCCCAACATGTTGGCAGAACATTTTGGCCACGCCAACATGTTGCTGCATGTTGCCAACGTGTTGCTGCCAACGTTGCCAATGTGTTAGTCACACGTGGCACGTCCGCGACGCCACAAGGGTAGCACGAACTGTGGAAGGGATATACAGTCTGCGCCAATGCGTATTGTTTTCTACCGTATACCAAATTCGCGCAGCTCTGCACTGCAAGCTCTCGCGCCACGCTGCGAACGTACCCTATCACATAAGATCAGTACGCTCACACGTGCCGCGAGACCTTGCAGAGTAGATGCGCAAATTTTGATATAAAGTAAAAAAGCTCAGTACACACTGTCATAGACTGTAGGTCCGAACAAAAATAACGAAGAGAGAATGAAAAAGCGCACAAGACATGCTCCTCGATAGATAGAAGCAGAACGGCGCTTATTCCCCAACCCCAATTCAAAAACGAGGCTCTTCGGATACGAGATCAAACTCCGCCAGTTTTGAGCAGCCTCCGCTGGCAACTGGTCCTTTTGCAATGTTGTTGCATGTCGTGACCAATAGTCCGCGGAAGCGGCTAACTAAAACATGGCGGAGTTCGTCCCCCCCCCCCCCCCCACCCAGGCTCTTCTCACCAAAAGGGGAAAGGAGTAGAGGAATGAGACCGAAATGAGTGAAATCTAAGAGAAAGACCGTTGAAAAGGTCAAAAATCTTCAACTCCTGACATTCACGTACTATTTTGCGTCGCGACTCCGGCATTAACTTGATATGGGTAGGGGAACGAACGCGACAACATCGCAAAAGGAGGCGGTCCAAACTGGTCGCAATCGTTCTTCTACTATGGGGTCCTCCTATCGTAGGCTGCTAAAAGTCAAGACTCCTAAGGGAACGGCCATAGGTTGCCAGCGTTGCAGACGTTGCTGGGGTTGCCGAAGTTGTCGGCGTTGCCGTTGATCTCATGATAGCCTCCACGTTTCGCGCGCTCTCTAAGCTGTCTTCGACCCCAGCAACGCCGGCAACCTCGGCAACCGTTGCCGGCGACCTATGGTCGTTTCCTAAAAAAGTGGACGGTGCCTTCGAAGGCACGTCCTCCCAAATTCTCGACTTCGATGTTTTTTGTCGTTCCAGGGCCTTCCCAGTTCCCGAATCTGAATATAAAGTCAAGAATCCGTGAAAACTTCACAGT